GAGGCTGCGGTGGCTGGGAGCGGCCACTGCACTCCAGTCTGGGCGAGAGTGAGACTCCAATTCAAAAAAAATAAAAAATAAAAATAAAGTAAAAATTTAGAGCACGGTACTTTGTGACTAGATGAAACCATATTCCAATTCAACTCTGCCTCTTACTACCTAAATAATCTTGGGCAAGTTATTTAAACTCTGTGACTTCCTCCTCCATAAAATATGATAGGAATACATACCATGTGGGTCATCAGAAGGATTTTGTGAGATAATATTTTATACAAAGCATTTACAGGTTGGGCATCCGAAATCTGAAAATCCAAAATGCAAAATGCCCCCAAATTTGATATTTCTTGAATGCTGACATGACGTTCAAAGGAAATGTTCACTGGAGCGTTATGCTCACTGGAGTCGAAGTGTAATGCAAATATTCCAGGAAAAAAGAAAAAAATCTGAAACATTTCTGGGGCCAAGCATTTTGGGTAAAGGATGCTCAACCTGTGCAATGGCCATTTGTGTGGCACTGAGTTCTGTTATTAATCGTGAGACTAACAATGATGGCTGCATCCTCCCTCTGCCAAGCGTTTGAAGTGTGTGATATGCTCTCAATGAAGGTGTGTGAGCAGACTGGGAAGCTGAGGATGTATTTCTCTACCTTCGTTTCTTTTGCATTTTTTTTTTCCTGCTGCCCTTTGACTCCCTGAAACAAGTTCTGCTCTGAGAAGTCTCATCCTTATGTTGGTTTCTGATATTAGCCAAGGTCACCTCTACGCCGACTCCGAAGAGACACTTTACTGAAGCCTTTCCAAGGATGTTAACCACCGGGGGCCCAGGTAACTGCCGGGTTTAGACAACTTCTGAGTCCAGGAGGTTTTTAAATATGGGAAAAAGATGAAGAAACCGTATGAGTGGAAGGTGACTATTTCTGTGCGCCTGAAATAGTGTTTGAGATGAAGGAGGTGGTAGAGACACGCCTGTGATGGGAAAAGGGCACCCTGGTTAGGAATATTTTATTTACATTTTTTTTTTTTTTGAGTTGGAGTCTCACTCTGTTGCCCAGACTGGAGTGCGGTAGCTGCTTCCGGCCACCACAGCCTCGACCTGCTGGGCTCCGGCGATCCTTCCGCCTCAGCCTTCCACAGTAGCCGGAATTACAGGTGTGCGCTACCACGCTTTTTTGATTTATTGTAGAGATGAAGTCTCGCTGCCTAGGCGGGTCTCGAACCTGCGGGCTCAGGCAATCCACTCACCTTAGCCTCCCAAAGGAGCGGGATTACAGGCTGAGCCACCGAGCCCGGCTTATTTTATTTAAATTTTAACTGAAAAAAACTTTAAGGCCAGGTGTGATGGTTCACACCCGGCTTTAAAAGTGGTTCCAACAACTTTGGGAGGCCGAGGTGAGAGGATTGCCTGAGCCCACGGGTTCGAGATCCGCATGGGCAACTTGGCGAGACCCCATCTCTACAATAAATCAAAAATTTAGCCAGGTGTGGTGGTGTGCGCCTGTAGTTCCAGCTACTTGGAAGGCTGGGGTGGAAGGATCACCTGAGCCCAGCAGGTTGACGCTGTGGTGGCCATGAGCATTCCACTGCACTCCAGCCTGGGTGAAGGAGTGAGACTCCAACTCAAAAAAACAAACAAACAAAAAGATCTACTCCCCCACCCACCACTTCCCCACCTTCCCCCTTCCTTCCACCTCCTTCTCCCCACCTCCCAACCACTCTTGCCCATTTCCCTACTCCCCCACTCCCAATTCTAGTAAAAAAAAAAAAAAACTTTAATAAAAAACTTCCATCTTTTGTTTTCCGTAAACATTGAGTAAATGTAATCTAATCTAAAACATATTACATTGTCCTCATTTTCTGATTTCCTCCCAAACTGATGATGTTCCATCATGAATCAGTCCCAGTCTGCATTTGGAGACTGATAGGCTGGCTTAGGTGATGTTTGAGATGCCTCCTAACTGAAATAAGGCCTGTCAGTTTCCTTGGATTTCAACCTCAGAAGTAGCTAAGTCTTCCTGTAATTCAGCAGGACTTTCCCAGGCTGCTCCAGAAGAAAACAGGACAGAAAGAGCAGAACCCCGGTCATATTGATCAAGGATTAATTTTAAGTCATTTCCTGTCAGAGTTCTGGTCTCTCCTAAACTCTGTGGAGCTCTTTCTTCTGTAAATCTAACCTCATAATGTCATGCATCTCATAAATCACACCTTATGAGATTTAAATAAGAACCTGTGTTTAAAATGCTTAGCCTAATGTCTGATCGTAGAAGATAGTACATTTTAGCTGATGTCTTAACATTCTCAGTAAGAGCTGGGCATGGGAGCATGCACCTGTAGTCCTCACTACTAGGAAGGCTGAGGCAGGAGAATCACTTGAGCCCAGAAGCTTAAGACCAGCCTAAGCAACATATCCAGACCCTGTCTTTTACAAAAAAACAAAAACAAGCTGGGCACAATGGCTCATGCCAGTAATCCCAGCACTTTGGCAGGTGGAGACAAGAGGATTGCCTGACCCCACGGATAAGAGAGACCAGCCTGGGCAACTTGGTGAGACCTTGTTCCTACAATAAATCAAAAAATTAACTGGGCGTGGTGACGTGTGCTATGGTTCCAGCCACTTGGAAGACTGAGGTGGAAGGATCACCTGAGCCCAGTTAGTTGAGGCTGCGGTGGCTGTGAGCATATTACTGCACTCCTGCCTGGGCAACAGAGTGAGACTCCTACTCAAGAAAAAAAAAATAACTGGGTGTGGTGGCTTGTGCCTGTATGCCCAGCTACTTGGGAGGCTAAGGAGGGAGGATCACCTGAGCCCAGGAGGTGGCGGTTACAGTGAGCTGTGATCCTGCCACTCCATTCCAGTCTGGGTGACAAAGTGATGCCCCAACTCATTAAAAAAAAAAAAGTATATATATATTCTCAGTAAAATCAGGAGGCAGAATGAGATTGTGGTTAAGTGGTTTAGTGTCAGGTAGAATGGGTTCTAATTTCAACTCTTCTTATTAGTTCTGTGAACTCAGTAACTCTCAAAAGCTGCTCGAACTCTCTAAAGCTGCTTCCTTATCTCTACGGTGGGGATAATTTCAGTGCCTACATCATGAGGTTCTTATAAAGATTAAACATGATAATGCATAGAAAATGCCCCTTACAGTATCTGGCCCATAGAAAGCACTCAAACATTAGTTATTATGATAGTTGTTAACTTTAACTCTTTAAGGATTCAGTCTTTAATTTTCTTTACTGATTAGTGGACATCTTGTATGCAATGAGTGAGGAAATGAAATAGGGTGGGAACAGATGATCTATTGTATGCTATTGTTATACTTTATTTATTTGTTTATTTTCTTTGATTTGGAGTCTAACTCTGTTGCCCTGGCTGGAGTGCAGTGGCATGCTCACAGCCACTGCAGCCTCGACCTGCTGGGCTCACGTGATACTTCCATCTCAGCCTTCCAAGTAGCTGGAATGACAGGTGTGTGTCACCACATCCAGCTAATTTTTTGATTTATTGTACAGAAGAGGTCTCACCAAGTTTCCCAGACTGGTCTGAACCCACAGGCTCAGGCAATCCTCTTGCCTCTGCCTCCCAAAGCGCCAGGATTACAGAAGTGAACCACCCCACCTGGCACCATTCCTAGAAGGGACTTCAGGGTCATTTAGTATCACTTTTCCATCCTTTGCTTCAACGCTTTTTGTAACATCACCACCAAGTGGGCATTCCCACTCCCTCACGAGGTGATACCTGTCCTTATCTTGTCTATACCATGGACGGATATCTTCTTCCATTTAGTTTTTACTTATTAGTTCCTTCTCTCTAGGACAACAAAAATGGAGCCAGCTTTTGCATCAGGGAATATAAGCACAATATCACGAATCTCTGAACGTTCCAAAAACCTCATTGGGAAAATATTTAGACAAACAAACAAAAGGCAATGGCTCCAAAACTGGGGAAAAAAATGAAAAATTGAAATTAATGAATATTTTATGGTTTGTCTATAATATGCAACATTATGTCAATGTATCACTGGCGAGTCAATTCTTAACAATAGTTATCTACACCTTTGTTTAATATGGGATGTGGGTGCATTTAATATGTTTGATATAAAATGGAGTGGAGCCCTTGAAAGTAAGAGACCCAAGGGCCTGTGTCTAAACTCTTTAAGCTCCAAAGCACACTTTAGACGCAGAACAAATGCATCTCTCTTCTGTTTGGAGGAGAAAGAGCTGGATCATGGGTAAGTCTTCAGTTTGGAGTAGATCTGGTTTAAATCCCAGCTTTCCCAGTTAATAGCCATGTGATCTTGGGTCAAATAGCTCTCTGAGACTCAGTATCTTCATCTGAAAATGAGAAAAATAATAGTACCTACCTATTATGGTGAGGATTAAATGAAATTGAATGTATATAGTACCAAGCACCATGTCTGGCATATAGTAAGTGCTGAATGGATGCTACTAAATGTATATACTTTTCCTAATTTTTTAAAAATATAGGCTGGGTGCGGTGGCTCATGCCTGTAATCCCAGCATTTGGGAGGTTAAGGTGAGAGGATTGCCTGAGCCCATGGGTTCCAGACCAGCCTGGGCAACTTGGCGAGACCTCATATCTACAATAAAAAAAAATAGAGACAGGGTGTCACCATGTTGCCCATGCTGGTCTTGAACACCTGGCCTCCTGCCTCAGCCTCCTGAAGTGCAAGGATTACAGGTAACCACACCCAGCCAAATTTATAAACTTTTAAGGCCATCACATCTCACCCCCACTGCTGCCTTTACCCCAGTCAAATCTTGGGCTTTCCAGAAAAAACTGTCACTTCCGACTGTCCCACTCATGTTGGTTGATGACCTAAGCTGTGCGTAAAAAGCTGTGATAACGCAGTAGTGCTCGATTTTACTGATAATTTTCATAGCAAAATGAAGTTAAAAAAGATCAGTTACCATTTTGATCAAGAAAAATAATTACAGAGAAGCTGAAACTGGACTTACATTTGAAAATTTCATATGCAGTTAAGATTCATGTTTACTTAGCAATTCTACTGATGTGGTTTTTTTTTGAGTTGGAATCTCACTCTGTCATCCAGACTGGAGTGCAGCTGCCGCTCCCGTCCACTGCAGCCTCGACCTGCTGGGCTCTGGCGATCCTTCTGCCTCAGCCTTCCGAGTAGCGGGAATTACAGATGTGTGCTACCATGCCCGGCTAATTTTTTATTTATTGTAGAGATTAGGTCTCACCAAGTTGCCCAGGCAGGTCTCGAACCCGCGGGCTCAGGCAATCCACTCACCTCAGCCTCCCAAAGGCGTGGGATTACAGGCTGAGCCACCGAGCCCGGCTCTGATGTGGTTTTTATACTTTATTTTATTTTATTTATTTATTTATTTTTTTGAGTTGGAGTCTCACTCGGTCGCCCAGACTGGAGTGCAGTGGCCGCTCCCGGCCACCGCAGCCTCGACCCGCTGGGCTCGGGCGATCCTTCCGCCTCAGCCTTCCAAGTAGGGTTTTTATACTTTAATTTTCTTTTAAGCAATAAGAGCAAAGGCAAGTGGAATATAATCTTTCATATTTTTTCTTAAATAATTTTAGACGAAAGAAGTGAGTATCACATGTTCTCACTCACAAGCGGACCTTGAACAATTATCGTAATACTGTAAGAAAGGGATTGGGCCGGGCTCGGTGGCTCAGCCTGTAATCCCGCGCCTTTGGGAGGCTGAGGAGAGTGGATTGCCTGAGCCCGCAGGTTCGAGACCCGCCTGGGCAGTGAGACCTCATCTCTACAATAAATCAAAACAATTAGCCGGGCGTGGTAGCGCACACCTGTAATTCCAGCTACTTGGAAGGCTGAGGCGGAAGGATCGC